CTAACATCCTGGGTCACTCTCTCCTGCAGACACCAGAAAGGAGAGACTAATTTTTTTTTTTTTTTAGTTTTTTGAGACTGGGTTTCTCTGTGTAGCCCTGGCTGTCCTGGACTCATTCCGTAGACCAGGCTGGCCTCGAACTCAGAAATCCGCCTGCCTCTGCCTCCCAAGTGCTGGGATTAAAGGCGTGTGCCACCACTGCCCGGCAAAATTTTTTTAAAGACTTGTTTTATATATGTGAGTACATTGTTACACCAGAAGAGGGCATCTGATCCCATTAGAGATGGTTGTGTGCCACCATGTGGTTGATGGGAATTGAACTCATGACCTCTGGAAGAGCAGTCAGTGCTCTTAACCACTGAGCCATCTCTCCAGTCCCCAGGAGAGACTAATTGATAGACATTTTATTACAAGGGGATAAAACACCCCCTAAGTGACAGCAAAGCTTGCTGGGTAGTTCGCTCCCCTCCCTGAGTAAAGACAGCCACCCATAGCTTGAGGCTGCATCCTGGAGACAGACTGTGACCTTCAAGTGAAAACACCAGTAACAGTTTCTTCAGAACCTTTTGGAAAGCCATAAATGAGACAGTGATTAATCAGACCACCCCCACCCCATCCCGCCCCTGCCAGAGATGCAAACTCTGGCTACCTTGTTTCCTTTAAAAGTTCAAAGTTCCCATTAGCCCCTAGAAAATGAACTTGGGAGTCACTGAACCCCTTTATTTGTTCTTGGTTGTGTTGATTAAAGCTTGTTTCTCTATCCTTTGTCCTCAGACTCTAGTAACACCATTTTAATTTAATTTAATTTTTTTTGTGTGTTTATGAATGTGTATAGCTTGTAATGGAGGAGGCCAGAAGAAGGTGTTGGATCCCCTGAGGCTGGAGTTATAGATAGTTGTGAGCTGCCATGTGTGTGCTGGGACTTGAACCTGGGTCTTCTGAGGAATGGGCAGGGCTCCTAACCACTGAGCCATCTCTCCAGCCCCTAGTAATAATATTTTTGTTTAAATGTGTTGGGTAACTTGTTCTCTAGCTTAGTATAGTTAGAAAGAGGTTAGAAGATCTGGTCTAAACTTATAGCGTTTAGTTTACAGGAATGACCCTCCACACCTCTCTGTGAGCATTTCCAGAGGTGGGGATTTTATTCCTTGATGAAGCACTTCAATCTTTGTAATCATAGAACTTTGGAGACTTTGAACCAAATCTGCCTCCTTGTTATTTTTCTTCTGTTCTGCTGGCTGAGCTACACCCACACAGTCTTCTCCTTTCCTCCTAAGTAACAACCGGGAGATGCCGAGGAGCCGCTCCTAGAAAGAGCATCTCCTCAATGGTTTTCTGTTTTGTTTTTTTTTTAAACTTCACTCTATTTGTGCTTAAGCACACACATGTGCACAGGTGGAGGTCAAAGAACTACTTGAGAGAGTCAAGCCAGTTTTCTGTCTCTTTTCTCTGTTTTGGTTTTTGAGACAGGGTTTCTCTGTGTAGCCTCTGCTGCCCTGGAACTCAATCTGTAGACCTGGCTGGCCTTGAACTCAGAAATCCACCTGCCTCTGCCTCCTGAGTGCTGGAATTAAAGGCGTGCACCACTACCCCACCACCGCTTGGCTGGGGGAGTCAGTTCTGTGCTTCAATTACAGATGGGTTCCAGAGATCACTGTGATGTTTGGTGGGAGGTGCTGTCACGGGATGAGCTGTTGTCTCAGGTACTTTTTAATGCTGTGATAAAGACCATGACCAAAAGCAATGTGGGAAAGAAAGGGTTTGTTTAGCTCCCTTGTCCTGATTACTGTCAAGCACTGAGTGAAGCCAAGGCAGGAACGCTCCCAGAGCAGGAACCAGGAGGTAAGAACTGAAGAAGGAAGTCTGCTTACTGGCTTGTTCAGCCTTCTTATACAACCCAGGACCACCCTGCCCAGGGTGGCACTGCCCCTCGGTGGTCTGGACCCTCCCACATCAGTCATTAATCAAGAAAATGCCCCACCAACTTGCCTACAGGCTAATCAAATGGTGCAATTCCTCAGTTTCCGATTCCCTCTTCACAGGTGTGTCAGGTCAGTAAAATGGAGCCAGCATAGTTATCTCGTGAGCCCTTGATCAGAATCTCTCCTAAAGAGTGGTTCTAAGACATAAATGGGGTTCCATTCCCACACTCTGACTAGGACCAAAGACAACAGACAAAAGGCCTTTGCAGGAATAGACTACATAAAGGGGGTTTATTTAAAAGGACAATTGAGCAAGCTGGAGGCCCAATAGAATGGGAGTGTCAGGCCTGTGGCTGTGGTACAGAGCACCTGCAGTGCAGGCCTTCAGGCTCCTGCCCCGCCTGCCCCTTGAGGCAGCAGCTTTCTCCATCTCTGATTCTGTGTTTCTGTGTATCTTACATCCCAGATTACAATCCCCCCCATCTCCACCCCCTAAACCCTGCCTTCACCAAACGTCTGTCGCCTGCTCCCTCACTACAGCTTCCTAGTTTCTCCTTTGCCTATGGCCTCAGTTGCACATTTGATGATAGAAATGGTGTGCACACACGGTTTTTCAAAGTTAAGATAGAGCCTGGCAGTGTGGCACCCACCTTCAATCTCACCGTTAGAGGCAGAAGCAGGTGGATGTCTGTGATGAGACTGTCCCTTCCATACCCACTTTGACAACTCCAAACTACAGGCCAGGAGTTAACCCAGCTCTGCTGGTCTCCAGCAGAGAAAATTCCCTGCTGACAATTCTGGAGAACAGCCTCAGCCAAGGCTGTCTGGAAGAGAGCAGATCTTAGAAGAAACTTGCTTCCAGTAAGAACCAGTACCTTGGCTGGGTCTCCATGACTTCCCCCCCTAAACTACCAAATTTCTCCGACTTTGTAATGAGGAGAATGCAAACAAACCTGAGGGCAGAGGGACCCACCAGCGGAGATGGGTGAATCCCTGCCAGAAAATTATGTGTTTGGGAGCTCAAACACAAAATACTTCCTCGAACTACAGAATGTGATCGAAAAGCTAACAATTTCCATAGATAAAACAACAGAGTGTCTTTACTAAAATTCCCTAAACAAGCTGAGGAAATTAAAAAGACCTATTTCAAAGCATGAGACAAAAATATAGACATGCAAATTCTGTGGTAAATGATGGGATTGGAACAGGAACCAGGAAATTCACCATGCAAAGGCTGTGGGTTCCCAGAGAAAAAGGAACACGAAGATTATAAAAATGATAGCTGATGTTTCCCTGGGCTGAACCTCCAGACTAGGATGATAGGAAAAGAAACACACTCAGCCGGGTACAAGTAAAAAGAATGTCTTAAAACTCAGTCTTAAACTCTTGCAGCTAGCCAGCAGGTCTCAGTTCACCAAAATTGAATGTGGGCTAATGAGAGAAACAGCCTCTAACATGGACCCAGTCAAGGACAGAAAAGATCTGTTAAGGCCTTCAGACATCACAAAGTATCCCATCTGAGAAATGGGTTTAAGAAAACAAGCTAAACAAACAAAAGACGGAACAGAACAGAGATGTCAAGACAGAAGACAGAAAGAGAGCAGAGGAGGAAGCAAACCATGACCTATATATTTGTACCTAAATCTATTTATAATGTGTAATATACATGCTAAGTAAGAACTCAAGGCAGGTGGAACTCACTGTGGGGGCAATTCTAACAAAGACTAAATGATCTCAATTAAACACTGGCATCAGGTGGCCGGGATTATGGGAAGAAAACCACACTCGAGATGTGTAAGAGAGAAGGGAGGTGAGGAACAGAGAAAAGTGGAAAGCGAACATAATTTAAAGGTCCCATTTGATTGGGGTGGGAGGATAATTGTAACATTGTGGGACTGGCTGCTTGTATCTTTATGTACTAGAAGAGTTCATGGTGTCTGACAGCACACACCCAGATTGGAATTATCTGAAGGATTTTTGTTGTTGCTGTTTTTTTTTTTTTTTTTGAGACAAAGTCTTGGTATGTATCTCATGCCGGCCTTGAACTCTCCATTTCTATGCCTCAGCCTTGTGAGTACTCGCAAGGAGAGAAAACAATTGCTACAGAGAAGCAAACACATAGAACACGAGAGCAAACCCAGGTGAACGGAATTTTGCAGCTACAAGACTTGTTCCATAAATCAAAGTCAGATAAATGTTTACCTAAGAGAAACACACAGCAAAGTGATACAGTTTCCAAATAAAGATATGAGGGAGAGATACAAGAAAGAAAAACAACAAAAGCAGATGTCTGCTGATTTCAAGCCAGTAGAATTCAGTCTATAGCCCAGGCTTTAAGGAGTCAGAGCAGGGCTGAGCCTAGGTCCTCTACTAGAACAAGTGCTCTTAACCACGGAACCAACTTATCACCCCCTTTTCTATGAAAAAATGTATTGCAATTATTTACTTATTTTGGAGGGAGGACTGTGCATGTGGAGGTTGGAGGATAACTTTTGGTGATTGGTTCTCTCCTACCATGTGTATACTGGGGGACTGACCTCAGGTCTTCAGGCTTGCCAGCAAGTGCAAGGACAAGGAATAGTTTTAAGATGTCAGTTTTCCAAAATTGAAGAGTATATTTAACATAATTCCAACCTTAAATCCCAATCTTAAAGAAAGGGCAAGGAAACGTTTGAAAAATTGACTGAGGACTGGGTAAAGCACTTGTTGTGCAAGCCTGAGGGCCTGAGTTCGAATCCTCAGATGGAATGTAAAGTGACAGCAGGCATCTATAACCCCAGGGCTCCCACAGCTAGATGGGAGGTCATGGTTCATGCACACCCACACTCACACATACGAACATTGCACACACAAAGATTATTTTTTAAAAATTACTGAGGGAGGGCTAGGGATGCACTTCAGAGGTAGAGTGCTGGCCTAGCATGCAGGAAAACTCTGGGTTCAATACCAAGCACCATAAAAAATAGTAAGAAAAGTTTCCCAAATAGCAGCTTTTGTGTGAACTTTTTCTTGGGAAAGGTAAACAAATTTCTACTCAGTGGGGCATCAATTACAAACCAAAGTACAACCTCACGAGTATTTGAGTTGGGGAACTAAAGAGTTTATAGAGCATGAGTGGGGGTCACTACAGGAGAAGGTGTGACCCCAATGTAGCCATGCCACTGAAAAGTCTCAGCCCCGTAGTTGAGCTCCACTGCAGCTGACTGTCCGTGTTGTGGAGCCTTCATTACCTCCAGAGAGCAGCTTGTACAGAATTACCCACAGCTGGGATGGAGGTGCAGGGACATCTGGAATTCAGATTAGGGTTCAGTGAGCTGCTCCATCTCTTTCTTCCATGGGGATATCAACAGGCTCAATCCTGAGAGTCTCTTGCAAGCAGTAGTTGAAGCTGCAAACAAAACAAAACAAAACAAAACAAAAAACAAAAAAAGCATGCAGTGACTTCAGTGATGGGGTCTTAACATCTCGTTCTGTCTGGTGGTCAGCTCTCCTGGTTAGTTTTGCTGTCAACTCAACATAGCCTAGAGTCATCTGAAGAAGTCTCAACTGAGAAATTACCAGATCAGGTTGGTCTAGAGCCATGTCTGTGACTGATTGTCTTGACTGATGAATGATGTGAGGGGGGGTCAGCCCACTGTGGGCAGCAGCATCCCTAGGCTGGTATAACCAGTCAGCTGAGCATTAGCACTAGTGAGTGAGCTGGTAAGCAGCATCCCCCCCCCATGGTTTCCATTTCAGTTCCTAACTGAGCAAATTCCTGCCCTGACTTTCTGCTATAGCTTCCTTATAACTCTTTCGTGTGTACTACTTCCAGAGGCTGAAAGATACAAGATACTCTCTGGTCCATCATCCATTCTCGGATGTCTCTACCCCCTTGACAAATAGAAGTCACCAAGGAGGCATACCGCTTCACAACACATAGAGAAGGATAGACCACTGGGATAGCCCTCACAGACTTTCACTAAGACTTTCCCTCTGGGAAGAGAATTCAGCTTCAGCTTCAGTTGCATTTCTTATTACCCCTAAACGGGGCATGCATGTGTTGCTTGCTACAGTAGGGAGGCATGCCATTCCATAACACATGAAGATGGCCACCTCAGGACTCCCTTGAGGATGTATCCACCCTCCGACAGTCGAGCTCCAGTTACATGTCTCATCACCTAGCGCAGAGACAGTCACTGGTCTCCCCAAGCTCATCCTGAAACACCAAGTGCTTCTTGAACTTTTTCCGGGGTATATATAAATAAATGTGTGCTGCCCACACACAGGGTATGATTCTACTGATATCCAACTCGGGGAAGCAGCAAGTTCATTTGACTCACAGAGTTTGGGTGAAGAATTACTTACAAAAAGCATGAGTGACCTCAAAGCAATCATGCCACTGAAACATCTCAACCCAGTATGGATAACAGCTTCCCCGTAGCAGTGAGGGCAGAGTCCCCTTCAGTTAACCCTGTGTACACTAGTATCTCCTAGAGTCACCGCAGTGGGTTCATTTACACACATCTGGGATGCAAGTATGAGTGCTGGGACCTCAGATGAGGGTCTCATGGCCTCTCTAAGTCAACAGGCCTGATCCTGAGAGTTTCTTGTAAGTAGGCACAGCTGCCCTGATAAGATGGTCACCTCTGCTACACTAGGAGAACAGCATTCTCCCGCATGCTGCAATCTATAAGGCAAGGTAAAGGGCAGAGATTAACTCATGGGATGAAAGGAAGAAGCCCAAAGTAGGTGAGTGTCCGTGAAAAACCATGATGATTTCACTGGCAAGACATGGAAACTGTATTACTGCCACCCCCATCCTTAGTGAGTGCCATGCAGGGCTTGTTAGCAGTGGAGCATGCTGGGTAAAAACAGAACCTTTTCTGCAATCTGAGAGACTGATTCAGGCTCCAGTCTGCCCCCATGGGTCCTTGTTCATCCTTACTCTCTGTGTTTTTCTCATCCCCACTGCAGATTCTAAGCTTCGGCACCAGACAGAGACCTGTGTGTGCACGAGTGGTGTCTACAGAATCATGTCCCCTTTAATACGTTTAAGATATTTATTAGGCAATTTTGTCCTGTGTGACTACCATAGGCTATATTGATGGCAGTGCCTTCTATGCTTCTGGCTACATGACAGAGCCTTTTGTCCCTAGTCTACAAACCTCTATTTCTAGGGGAAATACTGTAGGCAACTCTGACATAATGGTATTTATCAAACAGAAAGTATTAGATGAAGTGAAAACGTAAGGGTTCTTTGGAAAGTCGGTTGGATGGTGTTTTGTTGGGGCAAACACATGAAGAAATGCTTTTCTGAAGCAGACACAGGAGAGGATGTTCTGCTAAAGGACACATGATGAAGGATTCTTTGCTAATGACACACATGTATTGTTCTGCCTTATATTGTGTAGTTGATCTGCATTTGTTGGGATACTATAGAGAGAAACGCACCAAAAATCTGGTGGTGTGCTGCAGTTTCTTGCCACTTCCAGGGACTTGGGCTGCATGTGCTGAGGCAAGGCACGTGGAGGACATGTGATGTTTGGAGGGTATAAATGGGACTCCACAGAGTGACAGAGACAGAGCTTGCTGGTACAGCTAGCTGTGCAATGCTTGTGGGGCTCGAGTCTTCCCTGAGAGGCGCAGCTGAGAACTTCTCCTGGTGTTCCTGTTGGTCTCTCCTGCCGACTTGAGCTGAGGCTGAGGGCTGTCTGTCTCTGCTAGGTCCTGTCACCGCTGTTGCTAACCCAACTCTACCGAATTGGACTGCTGGTGTATCCGTGAGGTGTTTTCGAGTGGATTGAGCTGCCACTGCCTGCTGACCTGTGAACTGAACGGCTGATTTCCAGACAACTCAGATGGGAGTTGCTCCAAAGAACCATTTCTAAACAGGTCCATATCCTTTCTTTTCCACTACCTCTGGTGGATGGTGGGATACAAGGTATGTTAAAGCATTTAAGAGCTATTATTAAAAATAAGATTTGAAAAAAATTCAAGTTACAATTAGACACTAGGATTTTTTTAAAGCTCCATTATAATCTTGTGATACTGTGTATTCTCTATGTTGGTACCAGAAACTGATTGTAAAGAGGCTTGTGTGTGGAAAGACATGCCTACAGTCTCAGCACTTGGAGGATCAAGGCAGAATGATCATCGTGAGTTCAAGACCAGCCCAAGCTTCAGAGTGAGACCTTGTCTCAAAGTCAAGTCAAATCAAGTCACACAAACAGAAGAAACCCAAGCCAGCTCGTATTGGTCTACATAGCGTAACTGTGTGCATGCGTAAATGAACACAGACATCCTAATGGCTATACCTCTGTTATTGGGCCTAGACTGACTGACATACTAGATGTAAGACAGAGGGGTGTTTATTGTATTATTTTTTCAACTTTTACTTTAGGCTTAATTTTTTTTCAAGGTGAAATTTTGTGCAAAGGATTTTGTTATAACTTCAACAGAGCAGATTCAACTTCGCAATTTTTTTTGTATGAAAACATATAGAAATTCACTAGGAGTTCAGATGTGCAATTTAACCTAGAAAGAGTATCCACTTTATATCCAGGGTGGAAGCAGGCTGAAAACCACCGGGAAGGTCTGAGGGCCACTGTGGAATGTGTGCGCTCACCTAGGGAGGAGGGCCTGGTGGGTTCCTGCATTGGCTTCCATGCCCTGGCAGTGTCTGACACCTTCACACTTGGCTCAGGAATGAAGTTTATACAGTCATTGCCTGTCACGTCAGTTTCTTTAAAAAGAAGGAGAAAGAGAAATAAAACATACAACAAGAGGCCAGTAAAACATAAAATCCCCACTGTGCAGTTGCTTCTAAAGCTGAGCTGATGTTCTTTATTTTCATCTTCTGCCGTCTGTTCTGGACTCTATTAAGCAATACTTCACGGACAAAGTTCGCCTGGTGTAACCCAGACTTTATCTGTGAGGGTCCTGAGCCCTCACTACTGAGCCTTTTCCCAGCTGGGAGTTAAGGGCCACGGGGCACCAAGAGCCACTGGAACACCCTTATTGTGGGCTCCTGTTCTGTGTCTGTCTTCTCCAGATGACATTTAGGGCCAAGCACCCCTGCCAGTCCCCTCGCCCACCTCAATGTAGGAGTCACGAGTCAGGCACAGTCGCCATAAGTATGGGCTCTACTCTGTGAGTCAGCAGAGACTCGCTGGTGCAAGCCACCACTCCTGCATGGTCATCTCCATGATTTCCAATGAAGTGTTGGAGCATGACTCACTGGATGAGCTCACATCAGCGCTGACTTCTGGACTGCGTGGCTGGTCATAGAGCACTCAGTTCCCAACTTGCTTCTGTCAGCCAGCTGGAACTGAGGGGGATGAGGAGGTCACAAACCACAATGTTGGGGTCCAGGGCTGCCTCACTGGCAGTTTTGCTCCCTTAGAAGAGTTGTGAAGCCAGGGTTAGAAATAGATAACAGGGCCAGAGGCTTGGGGACAGCCTTCTGTCTCAAGCTCCCCTAGTCCGCTAGTTGGTTTATAACAAGTTGACAACAAGCACTGGAACCCACCTTCTGAATTTCCAACCTAAGGAGGGTAGACTTGTTAAGACCCGTGCAAGTGTGAAATGCCTACTAACCCTTTCTCTCCTTAAATGAGACAGAGTCTCACTGTCTCAACCTTGGGTCACAAGCACTGGGAAACATTTCCAGTTCCATCAGGAACTGAGGCACTGCTCGTAGCAAAATTACAGTTAAGTAGCAATAAAAATACTTTTATGGCTGGGGGTCACCTCGAGGAACTGTGTTAAAGGGTCACAGCATTAGGAAGATTGAGAACCACAGTTCTATGTTGTCCGGTCTAGAGCTTACTTAGTAGACTCTACCACTCTTGAACTCACAAAGACTCACCTGCCTCCCAAGTGTGAGGATTAGTGGTGTTGTACCACTATGACCAGTTTCTTGAACTTTGATACATAAACTACTGTCAACCCTAAATTCCTTTCATCCCTGGGGCTGTAATTGAGTTTCGAGGCCCCAGTTTCATTTTGCTTTAAATGTCCTTGTGTTTCCTTCTGACACTTCATTCTGGGTTTTGGGTCATTATTTTGTACCACTGTAATGTCTGAGTTTCTTCTTTGTCTTCCCTTCTCCTCCGCCACTTCCCCTTCTTCAGTTGAGTCTTGCTATGTGCTCTTGGCTGATCAGTGAGTTGCAGCCTTCCTGCCTGTTCTTCCCAAGGGCTGGGGTTCCAGACATGCGCCAATGTTTGGATATTGAGTTAGCCTTTCCGCGAACAGTGCTTGCTCTTCTTTTCAAATCAGTGTCATCAGGAAATCAGATGTGTGTGTCTTATGTCTTGCTGTTTCAGACATGACCAAAGAAAAGCCTGAGGCAAGTCACCAGAGATATACCAGCAGTCTTGAGGTTCAGAGATCAAGCCACAAGTCCTTTTCATGATGCTACCTGATGCCCACTGTTGTCCCCCTGTCTCTGAAGCTATTGTGACAGGTTTTATTTATGTATTTACTTAGGAAGAGACCTAGCTAAGCCATCAATCCCAGCACTTGAGAGGCAGAAGCAAACTGATCAGTAAGAGTTTGAGGTCAGCCTGGTCTACACAGTGAGTTCCAGGACAGCCAGGGCTATATTGTGAGACCCTGTCTTAAGCGGAAGGAGGAGAGGGGGGAGGGGAAGGAAGGAAGGAAGGGAGGAAGGAAGGAAGGAAGGAAGGAAGGAAGGAAGAAAGGAAGGAGAGAGAGACTGGTCTCAGGCCTTTTGTAGCTCATGCTGGCCTGAAACTCGTCACTGTAACACTGGCCTCTGGGAAACCCTAACCTACTGACACTGACAGACTAAGGACACCCATAAATGTTCCTACATGAATCTCCGCTACCTATAAATATATGTAACTTTACCTGACAAAGTTTAGATATATTTAAAAAAGAAAAAAAGGAGCTGGGTATAGCGGTGCTCGCCTTTAATCCCAGCACTCAGGAGGCAGATGCAGGAGGATCTCTGTGAGTTCAAGGCCAGCCTAGTTTATGGAGGCATTTTTTTTTTATTTTTAGCTATTTCATTGAGTTCTTATATCTACCATCCTTCTCCACCCCAATCCCTTTCAATCCCAAAACTAGGTAGGTGAGAAAGATTAGAGGGGAAAGAAAAGGGGCATAGATTTCTTTAGACTACTTCCTACTGACTAGGGGCATTGACTTCCTAGGGGGCAAGTCCAATCTTTGTAGGCATATATTTTTCACAACCTACTTTAATAAGGATTCAACCTCTTTTCTACCTCTAGCCTACCACCCACCAGAGGTAGTGGGTGAAAAAGAAAGGGAATTAGGCTACAGGGGAAGTGGACCTGCTTAGAAAGAGTTCTTTTGGGCAATTCCAATCTTTGTTGTTCTCAGTCCCGTCCACTAGCAAACACCAAACACGAATTAGCAAGGGTAGTTCAGTCAACAAGATCTGAGTCCACCGAATTGGCAAGAAGAACAGGAACCTCACAAGAAGCTCTTAGGGAAGTTTCTCTCTATGAGGTCACCACAACCACAGCCCAGCAACTCAATGTAAGATGAACCAATACATGCATGTTGACAGTGAAAACCAGTGAGGTGTGGAGCAAGGCAGACTTGCTCCAGCTCCCACTGCCCGTGGGGCCATATTTATATTCTGTCTAAACATCATGCATCCTTCCAAGTGTCTGCTCTAACAAAACATTCTTTCACCTGTGTGCCCCAGCAAAACATCATTTGCCATAACTGACTTTCCACAGAAACCTGGAGTTTCCACTTCAAATCTTCATTGTCAGAATATTGTCAAACCAGCAATTCGGAAACCAGAAACCAGCAAACCAGCAAACACAACAGCAGGAACTAGTAGCAGTTGGGGTGGCAGCAGCAACTGCCGCCTCTCAGGGTTCTTGCATTTATAGCCTCTCAAAAGTCCCCAGAATTCCAAAGGTAAACTATCTGCATCTGGAAAAAAAAAATCATTCCCCTTCTGGAGCAGGAGACGATCACAGTTAGCAGCTGAGCCCAAACGGAACAGCCCCATATACCACACTTGAGACTAAAACAAAAACATAATAACGTAATGTAACTGGGCCTTTAAAGAAACCAAAATTATCACTACCTTTCCCCCCTTTAGTCCAATAAGTGGCCTTGTCCCTAACATCAATCAACTATAAACAATAAAAACAATTATGAGAACTATCAGATAAGAATTATCTTTACAATGTCCAGTCCATTTGTATTTGTCTGACTTGGAGAAAGCGGTCCACTTCCTATTCTATCCTGGCGAGTCCAAAGTTCTGTACCTAAATCACTTTTTTATCAGAACTTCTGTTTATCAACCTAAAAACATCTTCAGACTTTAAAACATTTTCATAGATCCTAAACAACTCAAGCTTTTATGTCTTTAATCTTTAATAAGGAAAGCAGCAAGACTGTAACTATCTAGTCTTTAACCGCATCAGAGACTTGAGAAGGGTAACTATTACCCGAGCGCAGAGCAAGCAGCTTCCAAAACTATAGAAATAGTTTAGGTAGAGATAGTACAGACAGAGACTGCTGGCTGCCTGGTCAGTCCTCCAAGGTTCCTCTGTGTCAGTGGGGCATCCAGTCTTTGGCCAGTAGGTCCAGAATATATGACAGACTTATCCGTGAAGCAGGAGTTTTGAAGAATTGGCCTATCTTGTCTTGGCAAAGTTTACAGTTGACTTTCCAGTGTCCTGCTTATCCACACTTTGGATAGCATGCTGTCAGCAGTAAGGGGTGATATTTTATTTTTTGTATGTATGTATGTATGTATGTATGTATGTATGTATGTATGTATTTTTTGTCTAGTGGCCATCTTTGCTACAATTAAAGCAAACTCCAGCTGGAGGTTCTTTAATGCCCATCATCTTCTTTGAAGTAGATGAAGGGTGCTGCTAGGAGCTTCTGTGACTCTCTGTCAGAAAAGCCTTTTATTATTAAAACATCTTAACTGGAATATTCTGTAGATCTCTAAAGTGTTTGAGGACCATCTACCTATCTAAAGTATATTTGAAAAGACAAGAGCTGCTTGTTTTGCTGGGAGGTGGTGGCA